ATTATTTTTTTTTTTAAATTCGTTATTTTAAGCGGAGGGAATCCTAATGTAAGTGGAAGGGATCCAAATAGATGTAGAGGGGATCTAAGTGGAAGTTGAGGGGATCCAAATGGAAGCGGAGTGGATCTAAGTGGAAGTAGAGGGGATCTAAGTGGAAGTGGAGGGGATCTAATTTGAAGTGGAGGGGATCCAAATGGAAGTAGAGGGGATCTAAGTGGAAGTGGAGGGGATCTAAGTGGAAGTGGAGGGGATCTAAGTGGAAGTGGAGGGCATGGGCGCCCGCAGGTAGTGGCAAGGTGGGGGACGTGCCCCCCGGATTGATTGGATAAAAAAATTTTAGACAAAAATATACAAAAAATGTCTTAAAGTAAAGAGAAAATAAAGAGAAAGTAACTAATCTGATGTCCTGTCCGTTCGTTCACCATACAAATACGCTACAGTCAATTCAAAATACATTAAAACATTACTAAAAAAATTTTGCCCCCCCCCTGGAAAGTTAATCGATTTTTTTGCCCCCCCCCCTAGAAAGTTTTCTGCGGGCGCCCATGGTGGAGGGGATCTAAGTGGAAGTGGAGGGGATCTAAGTGGAAGTGAAGGGGATCTAAGTGGAAGTGGAGGGGATCTAAGTGGAAGTGGAGGGGATCTAAGTGGAGGGGATCCAAACGGAAATGAAGTGAATTAAAATGGCAAGTGCCTTATCCAAAAATAAAATACATATAATAATACCAATAGTAGTAGACAACGGTCTAAAATGCGTGTTCCTTCATGCTTGCGTGGTCAAAAGAGATGAGTGGACCTGCAACACAGTGAGTGGGCTACTGAACGACCGTTCGGAAGTGCCCGCCATTGAGTTGGGAGTCACTCATATTTATTAACGGAATCATTGAAAATGATAATTTAATAAATGAACTATTAACTCCGATACCCCTAAAATACTCGCAGTTATTCATACACTTATTTTATTCCGGGAAGTCCCGGGATCACCGGATGAGGAACACTCGTATTTCAGGTGTCCCGGGATAAGCCAAACCCTGGGAAATAATAAACCCTACATAGAGCATAAATGTAATGTGGGTTTTCAAGACGTACTGGGACGACTGCGACGAGGGGGGGTTTGGTGGGGATGTCAAACAACAACAAGAACAACAACCACCACCACCACCACCTCCCCCGCCGCAGGAAACCTTTGCTGTTTGTTCTATCCTTACCTTCAGGGGATGCAATGACGTCATATTCGTCTTCTCCTGAAGCCCTTTCCGTGTTTTTGGCTGCTGCTCCCTCTTCCCGATCGATTCATCTCGCTTCGCGACGCGTGGACCGTGAAAGGGCAATGCCGGCAAACAAAGGCGATAGAGCAACATAAGCACTTCTCGTTTCCTTTGGTCAACTGAGACACCCGCCCTTTGTCTCGTGACGCAGTAAATATATTTCCAAGCCACCAGCTGTTAAATAATAAATACGAATCGAACACCGCCCTGGGTGGGTAAAGACAACAATGACTTTGGACAAATTGATGACGCCGGGTCACATGGGCCAAGGCATACATTTAACGCCGAGAGATAAGAAGGTTGGGGGGGGTCCTTTTCTTAAAACGACCGATAAACGAGAGGGCACGGATGAAGTGTCAAACCGGAAATATATTCCCCCCCCCCCTTTCTGTAATTCAGTTTTGAAAAGAGTATTCACAGGTCACTCTCCCTCCCTCTAACCCTCTCTCTCACTATTCTCTCTCTTATCTCTTTATATCTCTGCCCTTCTCTCTCTTTCTCCTCTCTATATCTCTCACCCCTCTCTTTCTTTCTCCCTCTCTCTCTCTCTCTTACTCCATCTCTCTCTCCCCACGCTCTCATTTCCCCTTTCTCTTTACTCTCTCACCTACGCTTTCACCCCCCCCCCCCCCCTTTAAGAAACAAAACGTTTACTGAGAAAACCACAATGTTCCCGCGTGTATTGAGCGATATAAAGACATGGGCAATAAACTACTTATTTTTTTTAAAAAGAAAATTTCAATAAATTGCGTGGTAAAAGAGGCGTGAGACAGGATATGGTTTAAAGGAGTGGAGTAACTGTGCTGGGGGCATACCTAGGAGGGTTACCATCCCGGGGGGGGGCTTTATTTAAAAAAAACAAAATGTGTTTCCATTGTAATTGTGGTGCGGGGAAAAAAAGGTTGGTTGGGCCTTGAAAATATACAGAAACATAAGAAGAAAAACATTATTAAAAGAAAAACCTCGTCAATGATTTTAATAGAGACAGAACCATCTGATACTGATACTATACATGACATATATATAGGGCCTACTTCTTTTATAATAATGAACATTCCGATTAACTATTTCTCAAATAAAGCATTTCAGTTTTTAAAAAAAAAACCCCGATTTAGTTACAATTCAGTTACATACGTAAAAACGAGATGTTTAGTCTAGTCTAAGTCTAAATATCTCATTTTTTGATGTTGAAGCTTCGCAATAGCAGGTAGTCTAAAATAGAAAATAGTGCACTATTATCAATATTCCTTCCATTAAGAGACCCCGTTTGTGACGGGTCAAATACTTTAGTTAGATAAAATAATAATAGAATATTTAATTAATAGCTTCAGTGTTAACCTAATAAATGTTGAGGTACGGTGGGTATCATCATCAAACCAGTGATTTCGGTTAGGTTTTGACGATGAAAAGATTAAAAAGGTCCAGATGATATTATAATACCGCAACACAACCTCTCGCAAGTATCTGAGCGCGCTGGCCGTGATCGTATAGTGGTTAGTACTTCGCGTTGTGGCCGCGACAACCCAGGTTCGAATCCTGGTCACGGCATGTAGCTGTGTGTCTCGCGCTGCCCAGCTCACCTTCTTTTACTTTTTACAACCTTCATTAATTACATTTATGAGAGAATTAAAAAAGAGCAAGACAACAAAAATGTAAGCACTTACGCATCACTTAAGTATCTATCTGTATATTTCTTTTTCCCTCTCTATATCTTTCTCTCCCCTCTCCTTCTCCGCCTCTCTCGTACTCCATCTCTCTCACCCCCACTCTCTCCCTCACTCTCTCTCCGCTCTCGTTCTTTTTCTATCTCTTTTTCTATTCTCTCTTCCCACTCTTTCTCACTCCATATCTCCCTCTCTATCCCATTGGCTCCCTACCTCTAGCTCACTTCCTCTCTCTCTCTCTTCCCCCTTCTCCCTCCCCCTCTCCCCCTCTCTCCCCTCTCTCTCCCCCTCTCTCTCTTCCCCTCTCTCCCTTCCCCTAACTCTCTCTCACTCCATATCTCCCTCTCTATCCCACTGGCTCCCTCCCTCTAGCTCACTTCCTCTCTCTCTCTCTTCCCCCTTCTCCCTCCCCCTCTCCCCCTCTCTCCCCTCTCTCTCCCCCTCTCTCTCTTCCCCTCTCTCCCTTCCCCTCTCTCCCTCCCCTCTCTCCTCCTCTCTCTCCTACCTCCATCCTTCCAAACTCTCTCCCCCACTCTCTCATTTCCCCTTTCTCTTTACTCTCTTCCTCCCCTCACCACTAATGATATCACAAACTTACTATGACAACAGTGCCACGTCCGTGCCATATCAGTGGCATATTGGTGAAATATCAGTGCCATATTAATAAATGTCAGTGCCGAATCAGTTATAATTTTGCAGCCAATAGTTCATTTTTAAAATAAATAAAAACGTTGCTTTGCTTATGCCAGTCATCCACCAAGCCAGTCAGACTGTGACTATGCTCTGCCATTGCAAACAGTCCATCGCTTCCTTGGATTGCTTTGCTTATGCCAGTCATCCACCAAGCCAGTCAGACTGTGACTATGCTCTGCCATTGCAAACAGTCCATCGCTTCCTTGGATTGCTTTGCTTATGCCAGTCATCCACCAAGCCAGTCAGACAGTGATTATGCTCTGCCATTGCAAACAGTCCATCGCTTCCTTGGATTGCTTTGCTTATGCCAGGCATCCACCAAGCCAGTCAGACTGTGACTATGCTCTGCCATTGCAAACAGTCCATAGCTTCCTTGGATTGCTTTGCTTATGCCAGGCATCCACCAAGCCAGTCAGACTGTGACTATGCTCTGCCATTGCAAACAGTCCATCGCTTCCTTGGATTGCTTTGCTTATGCCAGGCATCCACCAAGCCAGTCAGACTGTGACTATGCTCTGCCATTGCAAACAGTCCATCGCTTCCTTGGATTGCTTTGCTTATGCCAGGCATCCACCAAGCCAGTCAGACAGTGACTATGCTCTGCCATTGCAAACAGTCCATCGCTTCCTTTTCTTTAAAATTGATCCGTAAAAGTTGCCAAAAATGACGTCAAATTTGTATTCAAAAACAAAAGGTAAACCTCTCAAATCCCCATGTGCACCCACGATCTCAATCACCTGGGCACCCTTACCATATCAGCCACCTAGGCATCTCGCCCTCAACAGGGTAACAACCCAGGCACCCCCTCACGATATCAACAACCAGGGCACCCTTGAGATATATACTCACCCTGGAACTCCATGATCTCAAGCATCTAGTCACCCCAACAATCTTTACCAAGTGGGCATCCCAAAAATCTGAACCATCCAGGCACCCCTTCGATCTGAACCCCCCCTCCATACCATGATCTGGACCCCACAAGTAACCCCATGATCTGACCCCCCCCCAGTGTACATTGATCTTGACTCCCCCGATTAACCCCAAGATCTGATGCCCTTTCCCCTTGTATACCATGATCTGAACCCTCCTCCCCACCAAGTAACCTCACGATCTGACCCCCCTTCCCGTCGTATACCATGATCTGACCCCCCCCCCC